CCTGTCCTCATGGACTTAAAAGGAATTTAACAATTTTAACTGCTCTGAAGTTGGCTGAAACCTAAAACTTTACTCAACAGCAGAACCAAATAATACAAAGGTAGTGGGTCCTGCTACTAGCATAGAAATTTTTCACCACCCTTAAAAAAAAAAGAAAAAGCTGGTGACCTGCTTGCTCACCGGCACCTTCTAGGCAGTCAAGCTGAATCAAACTTTTTGTCTTCAAATGACAAAACTCCCCTTGAACTAGTTGATCCCAAAAGTCAACAGCAGAAAATAAACACGTCTTGCACCTTCTGCATACAAAACCCACACAAAATTTTCAGAGAATTGAGACAGAATTTTCCTTGGGTGACTATCAGGAATATAATAAAAAAGCATTTGTACCCAGGGAAAATGTTTTTTTTCTAAATACATACTAACTCCTTATCTCAAACCTACCTCTATATCCAACTTATTGACCCAGATTGGCAAATTTGAATATGAATGAAGATTTAAGTCATCCACAGCTTTCTGAACCCTGTTCAAGATTTCAGAGAAAGTCCTGTGATCATACATGCATGTTTCCAATGATCTCACTTCCAAGTCTATTTTCTCTTCAATAATGAGCAGATCATCCACCTAAAATGGTTTAGGAAAAATGGGATGTTTAGTTTGACAGTTAGATAGAGGCAGCAGTATTGTGCAGTAATGGTTAGTCACCTCTCTTTATTTGGATTCAGTTTGTCTACCAATTTTAGTAGTACTAAAAGAGCCATTTAGGTGGCCGACTTGTTACAACCCTATCAGCTACTTAACCAAAGAGCTATAGAAGAGCACACCAGCTATTCCATTCCACTTTTGGTTAACCACATTGCTGAAGTATCAGTGTAAAAATTTTGCAGAATTTGCAAGATAAAACAAACCTTTTCTTGGAAACTGAAGACAGTCTCAGCTAAGCGCTGTACATATGGATCAAGTTTGTACGATTCCCACACAAGAGCGATTCCTTCTGCAATCAAAGCCTGCACCTCCTTCTTCAAGCCAGCAACCAGAAGTGAGATAGTATTACGCTCTTCCACTTTCTCACAGGTTCGCTCATATGTACGGACACTTTCAATCAGAGAAATAGCAAATGGGTAGAGCTGGTTTGCTTGGTGAGCTTTGTTGACAATTGCCAGGGGAACACGGAAACCAAGCCATTTCAGGTTTCGGACTTCTTTTGAAAGTGTAATTATTTCTGGGAGGAAGTTAACTTTCAGTTTCAGGACATTTCCACTTCGACCTCTAACACGAGTGCTTTCAATGGTGAAAATACGACCAGACACACCAAGATTGCGTTGCTGAACTTTTCTTGCCCAGTCATCAAAGATCTCCTGTGTGTTGAGCTTCATGCGAAAGCTATCTCCATCCTGCTTTAGCTTCTGACCTTCTACATGGTTCTCCCATCCTTTGCCAAGGACATCCTCAACACGCTTCATGTAAGCGGTGAGCTGTCTGTCAATCTGTTTTGCCCAAATTATAGACCCAGACACAGGAGGCAAGTCACGAACATGACTCATTTTACAAGCTTGACTCTGGGGGTATTGTACTTTAAATTTGTCATGAAGAGACTCAATATCATCTTTTACGCGCTGGATCAATTGCGTTTGATATTCACGAATGGCACCACGAATGTGAGGTCTGACAAATAAGGCATTAAACCTGGAGAAGATTCTGAACATTTCATTGGCATTCTTCGCTGTACCAAGCTGGTCTCTCAAACGGGCAGTTATTCTTGTTTCAACTCTATCAATTCTTTCATCATACCGTTTCATTGCTGCCTCCCATGCTTCTGTGCCTTCTTTTGAAACATCTAACCCATCTACTTCCTTAACATTCTCATAAGCAAGATTGACTTCTTCAATTGCATTAGCATCTGCAGCATCAAAAAGGACCTCTGCTACTTTCATATCCTGTGGTTCAGGTACCTCTCCTTGATTTTGTTGGGCAACAGCCGTCACCTGCATTGCAATCACATTTACGTAAGTTGGATGCTTCAAAATTTACCTATAAATAATCACAAAGTCTGTTATAAAAAGCACTGAAAAAAATACCCTATTTGTTTATAATATATTTTTATATATACTATATTTACAAACAGGTAAACAAATTAGTACCAAATCCTTAAGAAACCTGCAGTCATGTTTAAATTTAAGCTCGATTAGGAACAGGGCAACAGTTACTTTACAAACTTCCACTACTGTGCAGCATAACCTCATTTTCCACTGTGAATTAGACAAGCTCAAGAATTTACACTCTTACTAATCACTGCTATGTCTGGACTTGCTGTCTTTGTTAACAGGTGCATGGCCATGTAGTATGTAATGTAAATCAGAATAAAAGATAAGCCTATCAAAAAGGGTTCAAAACTAGACCAGTTTTGGAAGCAGATAGTGAAACTGTTACATTAGCTTTGCGTTGCTAACTTTTTAAAGCAACAGTGAGCATTCCTGAAGAAGCCATACAGATTTTCTGTCTGGTAACAACCAAGAACATTACCTGAGGTCGCAAGACTCTCACAATAACTGCCCTCAGCTGCTCATGCTGACGCCTGAATTTCCTCATTTGATCAAGACGACCCTGGAGTTTCCTATGAGCTGGATTGATACGCCAAACCATCTTCAGGTTCTCCTCCCTTTTTCTTTTCACAATATCTCTCAGCAGAACTTGCAGCTTCTCATATTCATCATCCCAGGTTTGGAATACTTCAAAGCATGCAACCATTACCTGAAGAGAGTTTTACAACAGCAACTTTAGCTTCCAAATGAAATTCTTCCCAAAAGTCACTACTCAATGCATAATACAGCCATGCTCTATATCCATACCCTATATTCTGTATCACAAAACTGTAACATACCTTTTCAAACTCTTCATAAGCAACATGCATCAGCTTTCTGGTTCCCAACACTTTAAGTAGCTGAGAGCTCAGATCTCTTGAAATAGCCTCCACTAAACGCAATGCCCTTTGGATTGGGTATTTTGTGTTTCTGATTTTTCTCAAATGGGTAAATATTGCAACAAGAGCCTGCCTTATTTTGTCCAACTCAGTAGCAGACAGCAAGTCATTCAGTGGAAAGTCTTTCATCAGTGGATTATAGTCATTCACTGTCTCCAGAGCCTGTTTCAGACCTAAATGTAACAGGAAATATTTTTAATACAACTTTTAATTTCATTAATCACATCTGTAGCTTTAACTAGACCAAGGTTACTCTAAACAGCGTTGTTCTTTGTACCACAACATTCAAGTTCCAAAACAGCAAGTTTCTGTAGAACTTTTGTAAAAAAATAAAATTATTGCAGAGATATTTTACCTGTGTCTGTATCGAAGCTCACAGTTGCATGAAAACGTTTGCCATGTTTCAGGATATCCAGAGTCAGAAGAACTTCTGGACTTTCACGTTTTTCCTGAATGCGATACAGAGCCCGTTCCAAATTTAACCAGAAGCTTATCTCCTGTAACGCAGTGCCTGATGCAGGATCTCGATCTAGTTTGGTCACCTTAAAAGTAATAGAGAGAAAGAGAAGGGAAGGAGAGAAGCATTTAATTCACATGCGTCAACTGTAAAAACTTGTTAGATTACCAAACGTAGTTGAAACAAGTAGTATCTCCTAGGTTGTAATAACTGAACCTGAGACACTTTGACAAGCATTCTCTCAGAAATGTAGGAACTGCAGTGCAACAAGAGTCAAAGTTCAATTCCAGTGGCCCTGGAAGTTGGTTTTAGCACCTCCCGTGGCATCTTCAGCATAGCCTAAAAAAGTCACCTGTCCACTTCCTTGATCTCTGTTTCTATTTTGGTTAATGACAGATGAGCCAGGCAAGAAAACAAATGTTTTATGCTCTGGAGTAGGAAAAGGCACCACTGTTCCATGAGCAATAGGTGTTTCATGTGCCCATGGAAGAAAAAAAGCCAGAGTAGTATCTGAGATGCTACTTCCAAGTAACAGCAGAATAGCAGAGCTCTTCTGAAAAGTAAAAGGCAGACATACAAGAGATTACAGGACAGTACTGGACCAACTATTCTGAATGCACCTGGATAAATAACAAGCCAAACCAACAAGACCCACTTCTCTCAATTTACTGTAAAGATAAGCTGTTATGTTGCTTTGTTGGTTTTTTTTTTTACCTTTTGTATCTCTCTAATCCAGCGGTTGACTCCAGATTGTAGCTGATTGAGGAATAATGGATCCTCAGCCTTCTCACCAAAATCTGTAACCTTTGGTTTTTCTCCACGTTCGTAACACTGCTTGGCAACATTAGTAATAGTTGCATGAATTGGCAGACTAATCTCCGGAATTTCAATATTCTGCTGCAGATGCAAGAGGCCCATTTCAAGTTCTGCAATCTTTTTCTCAACTGAAGGAGCCATCTTATCTCCATCCCTGAAAAAGCGCAGAGGTTTCCATGTAAGAGGCTAAACATAAATGACACACAACATATTAAAGCCTTATGAACTACTTCCCTGGAGTCAGCAACAGCATCAGATGCAACTGTGTGCTTAAACAATTTCACATGACTTGCCTTGAACAGCTGCTTTTTTCTTTTCATTAAACACCTACTTTAATTCATTAGTAGAGAAATGCGGCATTTATACTGAATTACCTGTCTGCTTTGCCAGATTCCCTGATATAGGACTTGAAAAAGGGAGCAACAGCATTGCTGATGAAAGAATGTAATGTTTCATACGGAGAATCTTCACTGAGAGTGAGGACTCTCAGCTGGGAAGACACTGGTTTGTCAGCATCAATCACTGGTGTACGCTTAATGAATGCCAGGCTGCAGAACAGAGAAAAGTTACCAACTAAACATTTGAAACTTAAGTGACAGTTAGAATAGCTTAAATCTACTGCAAGTTTAGGTCACAGGAGTCAAATGCTAACCTACGTCATACTTTCTTCTGAAATACCTGAACACAAGTCTTGTAATAACTACATCTTTTTATTTAATCAGTAAACAGCCAAACATAGGTATCAGTAAGCAGTGTGGGCACACTAAAGAGGCTTACATCTTAGGAAGCTTCACGCTCAAATATAGAATCATAGAATAGAATCATAGGTGACAAATATGTAAGAGTCAGACATAACCAAGTATTACTGAACCTAATGAACATACTACTGTGTATGCTACTTTTGCATGTATGCCAGTTTAATAAGACTCTCTCTTTAACTTCAGAACTAGAAGTCCTAAGTCCATTCCTGTCAGCCTCATGACACACCTTTGTTTTATCAGAGCCTCCACCTTAAAAAGCTATTCCTCTGCCTGAATAAAATCACTGCATGAAGCACATGGCAAACTGGAGGTAAACTTCTAGGTAAAGCAGGTAGATCTGCTTGTAAGGGCTTTGCATTTACAAGCTAGAAATATCAAGATGTTTTACTGACTCACCTGTTTGATTTTATTCCATAATGAATGTCAGTGCTGATACTGTAAGAAATAAACTCTTTTTCCTCTTCTCCTTCATCTCCCACATCCTCTGCAAAAAACATGCTATGTAAGAAATATTTTATTTCTAAGGTATCGGCCACAATCCCTCTACCAGACTATCTTCTAACCATTAATTTCTACATCAACTTATCTAAATTAAGTTAAATTCAGCTTTACAATGTCACTCAGTTTCAGAGTGGGTTCACTGCTCTTCAACAACACTCTATTGGCTTTTAAAGGTTGCTATAAAAAAGAAAGATAAAACATTACAAGCAAATTCTGTTATCACATTCTAAGAAAAATCTTCCGCAATACAAAATGTACATTTATTTGTAGAGGTATGCTATGGAATGACTACACTTCAGTACACTAGAAAAAAACAGCTGCTTTCTTCTTTTTAAAGGTTGGGTTTTTTTTGACCTTTTCTTTGAAAGATATTTGGAAATTAAGTCTCTGAACAAAGAAACCTCCTGACAAAGCAGAAACCCAAGCCATGGGAAGTACTCGGGCATTACCAAAGCCAATATATCACAGATGACGTAATCCCTGGGAACGCAGGCAGTTGTGCTGCAATGCAGTCATTTTAGTGCAGAAGGTGACTCCCTGTTGGGAGACATGCATGGACCTGAAAGAGCATTACAGTGGACTCTTGTCCTGCCCTGATTTCATTTTGTCATTCATGGGAGATACACCCTAGGGTGTCACATTTGTGATCCTGAACACTAGAAGCCAGAACACTGCACAGTAACCTGTATGAAAGCTGTTGGCAGGCTGTGTAGGTCATGATGGCACACAGCAGTTTTCATTACGCAGAAACATGGCTTTTGTTTTATTGTATTTGTAATCAATAATTTACTTGGTACTATCTGGACTTCGTGTGGACTAATAGTCCACACAAAAGTTTCAATAATAATATTGCTTTTAATAATGTTAAAGAAAATAAGATCTCTATATGGTGTTAGAGGTACTGAATCTGTTAAATCTGAAGGCTGGCTGTGAATCATAAAATCCGCTCTCCCTAAACAACTGCTATTAAACCAGAAGACATCAATGGAAATGCCTTCTGTCCATAGTAAATTAGTATTTACCTTCTGAAACATCAAAATGTCTCAATTTGGTTTTTAACCATACATGTGTAACAATACCTATGCAACAAGCCTAGAGCTAACTTATCACTACTCTTTCATTACTTCCAACCCAGACTAAGGATAATCAATCTCATGAGCCAGCCAAGAAAGATTCAAAAATCATCTGCATATTATATTAACATGCGGTAATGGTGTAAACACTGTGTCATGAATTTATGATTGTTGTTCTTTTTTTCACCCCTAGAGAATTCTACTGTTATTCCTGCTGAAAAATCTCAGACTCTGAAGGAGGAAGAGGATAAGCAGTAAGCAGAAATAGGCATAAGATAAACAAAGACAATATTTTAAGCAACATTTTGGATTCATAGGGACTAGACAAGGAGCGGAAGAATCTTCTTCATGTTTCCATCAGTGTGCAGCAACTGCAGGGCCTATGTCCACTATCTTAGACTGCAGCTGCTGACCTGCTAAATAATGTATTATGAAGTCTGAATACATTAAAATTTGACATAAATCTACTGGGACTGAATCAATAGTATAATAGCAGCAGAAATCCAGAAGTTTAGTACTAAAATTCTGCAAGCTCAAAGTGGCAGGCATGTAGCCATATACAAATTGTAAGTCTTGTTTAGTAGTAAAAGTCTGTGTTATTAACGAAGCTTTGTTTTAGCCTATTATTGTTCATTAAACTGGATTCTGTGACAATTTAAGTGCTTATTTAGAAATTGATTTCTTGACAAAAGAAAGTCATTTGCAAAATAAATGACTCAGTGTAATCATGCAAGTAACAAAGATGTTTTTCAAGCCAAGAGTGTCAACTTTGCTATAACATTTAATGCAGCATTTGATGACTTTTCCAAGAGCCATTTACAAGCACCATGGCCACCAGGCTTTGCTAATTAAACAAGGACACTGCAGGGTCTGCAGCCTGATTTATGAACCGGAGTCTCGCTAATTTACCATGGAATAACGCTTCCCACAGGCTGAGATGACTCTCTTTTGGTTTTTATTTTTCGGGGCGGAAGGGAATGGTTTTGGTTATTTCTCAAGGGCTGGTTTTCGTTATTCTGCTTCAGGCCGGCGACCTGCCTCGCCCAGGTCAGCTTCTGAGCAGCAGGGACGCCTCAGAGAGAAGCGCCTACAGCGCACTGACGAAGCACTTTCGCTGGCTATCCCAGCTGGACGGGCTACAGCCGCAGCACACAAAGCACCTGCGCCCACGACCCCGCCGCGTATCTGCATCGAGCCGCTTCAGCCCAAACCTCAGGCATAGAGAACAAAGAACGGCCGAGGCCTGCCGCGGCAGGGGCTGACAGCTCGGGCCCCGCCCGCCAATGCCGGTCCTCGCGCGAGGTGCGGCGCCAGCGCCTCGACCTGGCTCTCCGGGTCGCGCCCGCCCGCGGCAGGACAGCGCCTACCGCGCAGGGGCCGCGCCTGAGGCGGGGACCCCCGCAGCCCCCCGAGCCCCTCCCGCTCCGCGGCAGGGCGGCGGCCCCAGACAGGCGCCGCCGCCATTTTGAGAGCGCGGCATCCGCGCGGCTCTCGCCTCACCTTTGAGGGTGGAGCGCTCCACCAGCACAGTGTGGACCTGAGGGTCGGATAGGAACTTGCGCATATGCTCCACGGCGCCCTTCTCCTCCAGTGCCGCCTCCAGCACCGCTGGGGCTTCGCCGCCGTCCTCCAGCAGCAGCGGCACCAGCTTTCGCAGGTGCTTCTGCAGCACCGACACATCGGCCACATTCTGCACCGCCGAGCCAGACACCTCCATGCCGCCTTCCTCGCCGCCGGGGCCGCCGCCCCCACCGCCGCCGGAGTCGGACATGCTGAGGCAGGAACAGCGAGAGGCACGCCACGCTCCGCCCGCCCGCGGTGCGGCGAGCAACGCCCTGCCGCCGGGGAGCCTGGGAAAGGCAGCCCGCCACGCCTCCGTGGCCGGGGCCAGTGCCGCCCTCGGCACAGCCCCTGTTGGCGAAGGCGGTGTTCCAGTAGCTTCTCCCTAAGAGCAGCGAAGTGGCTGAGCTGCCAGAGGAAAGTAGCAGCCCGCCCACCTGCAGCTGCGTTGCGCCACCAGGCCGAGAGAGAGATGGGTGCTGTCGGTCCCTTACCGGGAAGACAAAGCAGCCCCAGGGCTCGTTTGTTCAAAATGTTTAGTTTATGTGAAAAATAAACCCTAGAAGCCGTAACAAGGGGAGAAGCAAGACTGGCTTCTCTGGCGTAAAGAGCAACCCCCTACCCACCTCGTACAATAGGCATGGCTAGTTATAGTTTAATGAATGCAGCACTTAAATCAGGAATCCCATACTTTCATACCCCATAGAGAACAGAGAGGGGAACTGAAAGCACCCCAGTGAGAAGGAGACTTCTCCCTGAACATAATTTAATTTTTAAAAATTGTTAAAGCTCTTTTACAGCAGCCACACCCCAGTGTGTATGTTTGATCTAAGGAACTGCCACCAGGATGGATAATCCTGCTGCCCCTTGTCTAAAGTAGTCCCATCCCTCCCTTTGTCCTGGGTGGTAGTTGCATGTGCCTGGGAGAGGGAAGGTGACAGCAGCTCCAGAACAATTCCACTGCCGCCCAAAAATCACTATTGGTGACACACTTTTGTTTATACGCAAGCAGAGAAGGGGATGGCACCTAGAAGAGAAAACCAAGCAAACTAACCATACAAAACTATCTCTGACCGCCCCCCCTCTCATTTCCTCAGGTGGATACACAGGCAAATGTAGAGACCCTTAGGCCCAGCGTCTGTTCAGATGTACTTACTGCACAACATGTAAGCAAGACGGGATGGGATATCCTGCCTGACTAAGCAAATGCGAGCCTGTAAGCCACTACACAAGTGTTAACGCAGCGTTAAAAGTGTGTGTGCCCAGCTATTTTACAAGGAATACAGAACAGCTACATGCCCTTGCTCCTTTTTCTACCAGGAAAAAGCATGCCTACACTCACGTAGGCTCCTAAGGGGTTCAGGAGTCCAGATTAGCTTTAAAAAAACCCACTGATATCTTAAGTAATAGAAATTTCAAGCCTTCTTGGCTGGAAGGAAAATAATCTGTTCAAGCAACAGAACTGACAAAGGTTATTCACTGAAAACTTACCAAAACCATTTCATTTCCTCTCCTTCCAAGCCCCTCTTAATAGAATAGTAATTTTTTGACAAAGAAAAATATTCTAAGATAATATATAATCTATTCTATTTACAGAACATGGTTATTGAGACAGTATTTAAAATAACACTCATCTACTTCAATTTTCCAAAGTCTAGTTTGCTCACATCCTATCAGTTTTCTACATGCAGATGTTTTAGGATTAAGTTTCATATGAGAAAGACTTAACTTTGCCAGGCTGAATTCCAGAAAGGCTACCCCATATCTGGTCCTGATGAATGCCTTCCGGTGGGGTGAGGATTACCTACTTCTTACATCTGTGTAGTAACTGTCAGTACAGACTAAACATCCAAAACCCACAGGTTA